CCCCAAAACCCCAAAACCCCAAAACCCCAAAACCCCTGGATTTTGAGGTATTATTGAAGAATGTTATTGTTGTAGAAATACTGGCCTGCTGCAAATCCTACAGATATTATTCCAGTGTAAATTGAGTTCATCAGTTCATAGGATCACTTTATCCCAAGTATTCTTAGAGAGGAGTGCTCACTATCGTGGTCAAGCATTTCGATATTATACTCTATCGCTTCTATAAAGTATGGAATCAATAAGTGAATACGAATGAACTCATAAGTAAAACAGTTTGGATAATCTTACCAATTCATTGGTCGCATCGCTCAATTCTGTCAGTTGTATCCATGTTGAGTTTTGTGAATCCCTGCACCAACGACTCCAGTGACTTCGAGTTGAACTTGCGTCTGTGACTGAGTTTGTCGAAGTTCCATTTCACTTTAATGAAGTTCGACTTCAGCTGCAGCAGAGTTGACTTGTGGATACCAAAGTATGAGTTCACATCTGCTCCAATCTTGACCATGTACGCTAGCACTCCACAGATTGCGAATAAGTCGTAGTAGCCAAGTAAAATGGCAGACAAGCTGATTCTGTTAGACAACACTCCGGCGAAGTTCAGAGTCATGTACAGCGCCAGAGCTCCGTACAGCACGATGAACATAGAAGTGTACATGAACACTCTAAGGGTGTACTTGGTTCCGAAGTCGAGAGTGCACTTCCGGAGATCAAGCCAAGCCCGCAAGTTGTCAGGCTCCAGAACATCAATGTTGGGGATAAAGCTGGTGAAGGCAGTGGATTTGTTATCACGCTGAGGATCAAGCAAGTCGTTCATAACTTTCTGGAAATGAAGCTTGCGCTTGAAGTCGACGAGACCGAACACAATGAAGTCCAGATTGATCTTGTGCAGGGTAAATATCATGAAGATCAGACTCACAAAGATGTAAGCGTCTGATACTTTGTAGTCGGAATACTTGTTGTAGTTGATGCCTTGGATCACTCAGTATAGCAGGATTCGACCAATTGTGATGACCAATGAAGCCGAAGAGTGGCCAGTCTCTATTTGGTTGAGAATGGTGATTTCTTTGAACAAAGCTTCACCACTGTACTTTCTATTAGCAGCAGGAGTGATGGCTCTGTCACTGCGAATGTCGACATCTTCTAACTGCTGGTCATTCACTTCTATCAGAGTCGAGTCTTTGTTGTTATTTGGCTTTCTAAACATTCCAACTTAGCTTACTTCGATAGAGTTGGGCAATCTTCATGAACTTTTACAGTTTTCTTTGACACAACTTTACCTTTCTTGATGATGTGTTTGAGTTCAGTAACTTTAGTGAATCTTCCATTCTTTCTATTATTGATTGCTTTCAATTGCTGTTTATTTGGATTTGATAATGTCTTCCATTGGCAGATTGTTTTGAGAGTAATGGTAAGAGTTGCTGAGTATTTCATGGCATTCATCACTGAGATGTTCAGTAAAAGTAAACACAAAGTCTTCATGTTCGTATTTGATTCTGTGTCTGGTGGCTTCAGTTTCAGCTTTGAGGGCATCCAATGATATAGTCATCCAAGCCAATAGAATTAAGTCAACTTTCAACCAATCAAAAGTCTGCTGAAGTTTCATGAGATGATATCTTTTTTGAGACATATATGCATACCTTATTGCAATAATAGCTGATCTTGTTGCAATAGTAATAATTGGAAACATTATTTCATGGGTCTCATAAATTTCAGTGTCAAAACAAAAGAACACCGCCACTAAAGATATGAAAGATACAGTCATGATGTAATCAAGAGGTCCATAGATGCTCTTTCATCCTATGAACAACATATTCTCAGCAAAATGGTAGCCCTCAACAATTGTGACAAAGAGAGCTGTGAATATTCCAGTGCAGAAGAAGGTAAACTGATACACAAATATTTTGACGAATATCCAGAAATGGAACTCAACTTTATACTCTGAAATATTAATGATTTTTCCAACTAGCTTTGCTTTTATCCTTCCCACATCAGGTGTAACTTGTCTGCTAGAATATATTTGATTTTTATGAATAAATTCAAAAGTTTCAAAGATTACCTTTGGTCCTGCACTCCTGCAATTTTATCAAACGTAGCATCGTTCATCTGTTCAGGATGAGGTTGATTCTTGTCATTTTCTTCTTGCTTAATTATCTTCTTTAGAGGTTATTACAAAATATTTCATTTACCAAATCCTTCGTTGACTGAGTGCACCGAGTATTCTAAATAGTATGTTATTTTCACCTCTAAAAGTTGTAGAGAATACCTTCGATCAAATTCTCGTCGTGTTTTGATTGCTCAGCTTGCTTGAAGACCTCTATGGTTTGGTCAACTATGGGAGGGGTTAATTCAAAATCTCCATATTTAGCTTACGCTTAGCCTCATCTCTAAGTTCTTTACTGCTAATTTCTTTCTGTCTTATGGCTGTTCTTTTGATTACGGTATTTTCCTATACGAAAAGTAAGGGTTAAGACTCTATTACAGGTGTAAATCATACCTCGCTTCCTTCTAAGTCATCCATGTTTGTAAAATTTATAATTTCTGGTACAAACGAGTTATGAGGGGTTTTGGGGTTTTGGGGTTTTGGGG